TGGCTTGCATTTTTCCAGGTCAGTTCAGCCAGGTCGTTTTCTGGCCCAGGCCTTCTTGAGATTGTGGTCAATCTTCCTCTGTCCCCTCCTGCTCACCTTTCCATTTCTTACTCCTGACCCATGCCCACCTGGAACCATCATCGGAGTGGTGTGCTAGTCACACTGTGGTCCTTCTCTCTTTCTGCTCCTAGAGTCTCTCTCACGTGCCGGAGGGAGGTCTCTGGTCCCTCTCCCTGGGCACCTCTAGAGGCTCTGGCTTCCTTCATGCCACGGAATTATAACAGCTATTGCTTAGAGAGCATTTATTAAGTCCTAGACACTATAGGAGCTTTTCGTTCATTATTTCAGTTGTTCATTCAATTACATGTATTCAATGTTTACTAAGTGACATGAGAACTTTGGTCCTGGAGACACAGCAGCAAACACGACCAATTTCTATCTCTGTTGCGTTTAGTAGAAGAGGAGCAGAGATGAACCACAGACAAATACAGAACATACTTTAGACAATGGCAAGTGCTCTGAAGAGAAATAAAGCAAGTGAAGGGCATAAAGAGTGATAGGGGTGTGATTTTAAGCTGTTCAGGGAAGACCGCATCTGAGGAGGGGCCCGCATGAAGGCAAGGAGTCAGCCCTGAGAACAGTGGTGGGACAAGCATTTCAGGTAGAGGGAACAGCATGCACGAAAGCCGCAGGTGGGAACGCAGGGAGCAAAAGGAAGAGGGAGGCACCGAGGTCAGAAAGGCAGCCTGGGGCACGTCAGGAGGGGCGCTGCAGGCTCTGGGGAGTCTATGGGGCCACTGCAGCTGAGCTTATGAAGTTGATATACTTTTCCCTGTTCTACAGGTGAAGGGGTGAGACGGAGGGAGGTCAAATATCTTGCCCAAGGTACCCAGTAAGGAAAGGGAAGATCCCAGGTTGTACAAACTGACACCCACAGGACACTGCCAGGATGCAGGGTCTCAGTGCTGACATCCCAAGGGCTGCTGAGGAACAGGACAGAGACTGTCCTTCCACACGTCCATGTGACGCTCTGGACCGGGCTCACGGAGCCCCCGGTGGTATGCCAGGGGAAGGCAGGGCTGGCGAGGCTCCGGGGAGGATCGTGGTTCCCGTGGTGGGCAGGGTGGCGACGCGGAGTGTCACGCCAGCCGGACGCAGGGAAGTGCTGACACAGCACAAACGCCCGGGCTCCACACCCCGCCCACTGTCGATGAATCCATTGAATCACTCAGCTGAAAAATTAACTCAAACCCACAGACATCCCTCAAACCCACAGAAGGTCACCGAGAGGAGCACGTCTGGGACTGAGGCTGCGGGGCACCATCATCCGTACCCCAGCCCCAGGGGCCTGGCTGCAGCCTCTCCAAGGGGAATGCCTGTGCCCTCAAACCCAGGAAGCCCAGGACCTTTGGGGGGGGGGGCTCCACGTTTCCTGTCTCCCCTTTTCTGCCCTCTGTTGGCAAACCTTCTCTCAGTCTGAATGACTAGTGTCTTGCCTGTTCTTTCTGGATTTATCAAGTTTTAATTATGCTGTTAGGATGCTGAAGGTCTGGCTGGGCCAGAGGGATGCACACAAAAACCAATTCAAGAATTTTGTCCTCAAGGAGCCTAGAGTCCATGGGGTTGGGAGAGGCGAGTCAGATACCTAGAGAAATATAAGGCCATGTTGGGGATAGAGTATAAACTTCACGAGGGCAGGATCTTTCTGTTTCATTTATTGGGACATCCTCAGTGTCTAGAATAGTGCCTGGCACACAGCAGATGCTCAATAAATATTTGAATGAACATTCGTGAATGGAAGGGGCTATGGCTAGGCTGAGCATGGAACTAATGTGAGTCAGGGTCTCCCCCATCCCAACTGCACATGGGAATCACCTGGCAATCTGATCACTGAGTCCCATCCCCAGACATTCGCACTGGGCTGGCCAGGTGCATGTTGGGAACTGGGTGTTCAAAGCTCCCCAGGAGACGCGAATGTGCCTCACTGGCCCAGCGCCACTGCTCCAGCTTCACGATGAAAGACTGTAAGAGAGTGGGAGGGACTGCTGCTTCAGAGACACCCGTCAGGTCCATCCCAGGTGCTCTGTGCAAAGTGAGCAGGGAGGAGAGTCTGCCTCGGCCTCTGGCAGCCTGCCTGCGGAGCCCATGTTGAACGCTCTTCTTCCATAGTCCCTGTTTCTGTTTCCCTGCCCTCCAGCATTTTCCTGGGGACCTACCCCTTCCTCAGCCATCCCTTGCTGCTGCACCCCTCCTGACCTTGCCCCACATTGAAGGGTTGGTCAGCCCATCAATTAATTGTGTCCTAATCCAATCTTGGCTTGGTCGGAGAGAGGGCAGTAAATCCAGCTGGGTAATCATGCCCTGATATTTGTGTAGGGATAATTACTATCTCTCAGGCCTCACTTGGTGGCAAGATGAGATGAAAACCCATAAAACACCACGAGAGCCTGTGGCTCATTGTTTCTTGGCTGCACAAGGCTGGCTGCCAGCCAGCCAACCCTGCCCTGCCCGCCCCTGCCCCTGGCACCGGCCCCAACCTTGTCCCCTCCCATTCATGCAACTGGCAGGGCTCAACATCAGGGGCAGCTAGAGTCTGGATCCTGGCGTGGGCTCAACAACCAGTCGGGGCAACATTATGGGCCCATGTGTGTAAGAAGGGGAGAGGGAGGGAAGGTGGTCCCCATAGCTGGACAATGCCTTGCCCCCAGGAGTTTAGGACAGAGAACACATAGGTGTGAAGCACCAGGTGTCGTCCAGACCAACCCAAGAACCTGCTGCCATCTGGAAGAATCCAGTGTACATCCAAGCTGGCATCACAGGGACACAGGCCCTGCATCCCTCAGGAGGACACCCTGGCCTGCGACTTCCCTGCAGATGTTATGGCCGAATGGGAGACTTCATTCTAGGGGTCCAAGGTTAGCCTTGAGAGAATGTGAGAGTTAGGGGCTGGGACCCACCTGCAGCCCCAAGAACACAGCTCCCCCCAGCTTGAGAAACGCTGAGCCCAACATGAGCCAGGCTCTCTGCTAGGCCCCGAAGACATGAGATTCAGTGAGGTCATAGTGTCCTGATTAAAAGGATGAAGTTGTTATCAGACCCCTGGGTTTGAGTCCTGGTACTAATAAGTTGTGTGACCTTGGGCAAGTCATGTGATCTCTTTGTGCCTCAGTTTCCTCAGCTATAAAGTGAGATACACCAGTACCTACCTAATCGAGTTACTGTGAGATAATTATTACAAAGTGCTCATATCAGGGCCTGGCACACAGTAGGTGCTGTTTAAGTGCTATCTGTTATCATTATTGTTGCTATTAGTTAGCCTTCTGGGCATCGATTTCCTTCCTCCATTCCTTAGTGTGTAGGATCTTACTACTCAAAGTGTGGTCCTTGGACGGGCAGCATCATCAGAGCCGGAGCTGTGAGCAATGCAGGATCCCAGGCCCCACCAAACCCCCAGTCAGAGTCCGCATTTACACCAGACCCCCAGACCTGCCGAGTCAGAGTCCGCATTTACACCAGACCCCCAGACCTGCCGAGTCAGAGTCCAGATTTACCTAAGACCCCCAGACCTGCAGAGTCAGAGTCCGCATTTACATCAGACCCCCAGACCTGCCGAGTCAGAGTCCACATTTACCTAAGACCCCCAGACCTGCCGAGGCAGAGTCCACATTTACCTAAGACCCCCAGACCTGCCGAGTCAGAGTCCAGATTTACACCAGACCCCCAGACCTGCCGAGTCAGAGTCCACATTTACCTAAGACCCCCAGACCTGCCGAGTCAGAGTCCGCATTTACACCAGACCCCCAGACCTGCCGAGTCAGAGTCCACATTTACACCAGACCCCCAGACCTGCCAAGTCAGAGCCCACATTTACCTAAGACCCCCAGACCTGCAGAGTCAGAGTCCACATTTACACCAGACCCCCAGACCTGCCGAGTCAGAGTCCGCATTTACACCAGACCCCCAGACCTGCCGAGTCAGAGCCCACATTTACCTAAGACCCCCAGACCTGCTGAGTCAGAGTCCACATTTACCTAAGACCCCCAGACCTGCCGAGTCAGAGTCCGCATTTACACCAGACCCCCAGACCTGCCGAGTCAGAGTCCACATTTACACCAGACCCCCAGACCTGCCAAGTCAGAGCCCACATTTACCTAAGACCCCCAGACCTGCCGAGTCAGAGTCCACATTTACACCAGACCCCCAGACCTGCCGAGTCAGAGTCCGCATTTACACCAGACCCCCAGACCTGCCGAGTCAGAGCCCACATTTACCTAAGACCCCCAGACCTGCTGAGTCAGAGTCCACATTTACCTAAGACCCCCAGACCTGCCGAGTCAGAGTCCGCATTTACACCAGACCCCCAGGCCTGCCGAGTCAGAGTCCGCATTTACACCAGACCCCAGGTGACTGGCACGGATGCTCTGGGCTAGAAAAGTGCTATGAACTCAAGGTCTGCGTCCTCCAAGTTGCACCCACGCCCAGCACCTCTACTCTGGCTTGGAGTAGGTCCTCAGCAGGAATGTGTGGAGTGAATAATGAGCTCAGCTGGAAGCTGCGGCCGCGAAAGGATTTCAAAGCATTTAGTAAAGCCTCCTTGAAACAGCACGCAGGGCAATTACAGGGGGCCGTTCGCTGGCTGGGGGCCACCTGGGTGAGAAGTGCTGGTGGTGGGGCCTGGCAGGAGCAGCGGGGAGGGCTCGGAGGACTGCGGGCTGCTCGTCCTGGGAGGCGAGAGGACAAAGTCTGAAAGGAGGACTGGGCCTCTGCTCAAGGCCCCTCATCTCCAGGCCCAGCGGCCAGGAGACGAGGAAAAGCTCACTGGAGAAGACAGGCTCCTCCTGCTGGGACAGAGTGAGGTCCTGGGGGCAGCAGGGGACTATGCCTCGGGGGGCCCATTGCAGTAGCCTGAGAAAGGCTAGGGTCCCAAGGCCCTGTGCCCGGCTGGTGCTGGGAGGAAGAAGGTGGGGAGCAGCAAGAGGCCCGAGGCCCCAAACCCTTACCTGAGAAGGCATTGTTGGTGTTGAGGAAGTAGATCTCCTCACGGCCATCCCCGTCGATGTCACAGGCTGTGACCCCGATAGCGTTGCCCTGCCGGTCACGCAGCGCGTAGTAGGGGGAGCTGCGCTTGTCCACCGCGATGTTCACTAGCCGCTTCTGGGCCCGGTCATACTTCAGGACCAGGTTGGGGCCATTGTACCTGGAGGGGGGGGCATGTTGGAGCAGCTGGGCCACCTGGTTCCATCCAACCAGCAAGGGGCTCAGAGCCCCCCGGAGAGGTCAGTGTGGGGAAGTTCAGCCCGTAGCATTCCTAAGGACCCCTCAGCAGTCTTGCCTTGGAGGTCCCGGGGTATTGACAAGTGTCCCTGAATCAGACATGGGCCCAGGCAAAGTGAGAGTCCACTGGGCCCATATGGGACACAGACGAGGGCGGAGTAGGGGAGGGGAGTGGGAAGCCGGTGACAAGCCCCTTACCACAGGCTGTGCTGAAGGACACAGGAACCTTCCGGACATTTACTTTACCCCTTTCAATATAAAAGGCACTTTCATATTTATGATCTCATTAATTTAAACCTAACAGCAATTCGGTGAGGGAGGTGAGGGAAGCTGTGTAATTAACCCATTTTACAGATGAAGCAACTGATGAGCTTCATCAGGGAAACGGAGGCTCAGCGAAGTTCCGTGCCCTTCCCAAGGTGACACAGCTCGTTAGCGGCAGGTCCTTTCTGCTCTCCCAAGAGCCCTTGCGTGAATGAGCCGAGGAGGCTTTGCGGTAGAGGTTTGGAATGACTCTCTCCTGACAGAGAGTCCCAGCATTTAAACAGTAAATATGAAATTCGTCTCTCAGGTGGGAGATGATGAACACATCTAAAGTTATTAGGTGGACCTACTGGATTTATTTTTCTGTGAAACTCAGCATCCAAAGATTAAAGTTCTCGTCAGCCCCGTCCTGTCCTGTCAGCCTCCTGCAGCCCACGCCCCAGGCAGTCCACAGGGCGGTCTCCCTCCTCCTCCTCCTCCTCCAGGCTCCGGCTCAATTGTCCCTTCAGTGAGGCCTTCAGGCCCACATCCTGAAACTGCAGCAAGCCCCCCCCCACTCCTCATTCCTCCCCTGCTTCTTCCCCTATTCTCTGTTCCTTCTCTGTCTGGTCCACTAGAATGTCAGCTCCATGAGGGCAGAACTTTCTGTCTGTTTTGTTGTTCAGGGCCTGCAACCGTGCCTGGCACACATAGGCAGGCACCCGGTAAATATTTGGTGAATGATTGAATGAGATCTCAGAGCTCACGTTTGCGTCCTAAGGGCTTAGGTGTCTCAGGGTGGATTTCCTCCTTTCACCTTTCCATCTGGAGAAAGCGACATGCCCAAGGTCAGCCCCCAGACAGCACAGCCATGGGTACCTCCTCCTGCTCCCGGGAACCCAGACAACCCGTTAGTCCCGCCTCCTGCCTCCGGAGTTCAGCTGCCAGCCTCCGACGGTCCCGGGTGGAGAACACTTGGGGGAGGGCAGGAAGAACTCTCCAAGGTCTTTGAGAGAAATCACTTCTTGCTCTCCTGAAACAGATCCAACTTGGCCCTCTCCTTCATCACCAAGTGCAGAGCCAGTACAGTTTGGGGGATGCTGAGCAACTGGCGAGGTGCCTTCTGGCACCCACAGTGTGTGAAAGGGGAGACAGAGCTCACTGGGGGCTGAGTCAGCACCTGGTGATGGAAGGTTGCGCCTTGGACTTGACAAAGGGTGTCTGGGGGCGGTGTTGAGGGCGTCACATGACCTAGGGGACGTGTCAAGGCAGGAGAGACAGAACACTTGGGTTCCAGCACTATCAGCCGCTGGCTCCAGCTTCCAGGACAGGGAGTGCCTTCTGGGTGCTAACCACTAGTCCGCCAAGCCTCCAGGTCTTCTGTTTACTACCATCCCTACTGCTCCTCACAAGACACTCGGGCGCTGGGCCTCGTTAAAAGCACGTGCACAAGCATTGTCTCACCTGAACCTCACATAATCCCAGGAAGCAGGTAAGGCCTTTTTTCTAGAAAAAGAAACTGAGGGTAGACAGGCAAAGTGAGCTGTCAAGCTTACACAGCTCACACATGGCCGCCCGGGACCTCTGACCATCTCCAGGGCCCCAATCCTGTGTTCTTTCCAGGTCGCCTGTGATGCCAACACTCTTCGTCCTCCGCATATTTTGTCTGGCAGCCTCCCCCAGAGCAGTGACTGTGAGCAATGCCTGAGGACTTCATGTAAACAGTGGAGGTAATAACCCTACATTTCCACGGCACTTTACAGTTTACAAAGGACTTTCTCATCCTTAATTTCTTTTGCTTATTGCAGGTCTGGACTCTGCCAGAAGTTAGTTGTATGACCTTGGCTGGCCAGAAACCCATGTTCTGGGTTTCTCTTCTGCAAATCAAAAGAGCTGGACTAAATCAGAGGGTCATAAAATGGGTACCAGTTTCCACACTGACAGGCCTGGAGGTAAGGTATGTGAGATTGCATGCTTCCTCTCTCTCACACCTAACAGAGGCTGTGGGACATTCTAGAAGTTCAGGAGGCTTTGAAACGAGGTTAGGCAGGGGACAGGGTCCTTGTTCTTAAAAAGCAGATGTGACTTCATGATATCCAAGGCTGAGCCAGCAGGCAGAAGTGATTGGCTTGGTGGCAACTGGAAAGTCTGCTTGAGAGACACCAGCCGGGCACAACCCATAGCTGTGTGAGTGCCATCCAATACTGGTGCCGGGCCACTGGGGCAGGACTTATGTGGGCAGGGAGGGGCTGGGGGTTGAGCCCAGAGCGCCCTGGGCATGGCTCCTGGCCCTGGCACTTCCTGGTACTGAGCTTGAGCTTGTCCCTCAATTTCTCCAAGCTGCAGCTTCCTCATCTTCCTTCTACTCTGTCTATTGCTACACAACTCACAGGATGGCTGTGAGGATGAGTGCGTGACAAACGGTAAAGAGTTACACAACTGTATGATCCTGCCAATATTAGAAAAACAGAAACAATGAAGGCATAATCTCTCACTCTCCAGTGATCATTTTGAGAGTTTCCAAACACTCTCGTATCTCTTCCCCACACACCCCACCCTGATCGTGCGCCCTCTGCAGGCATGTTTCCTGACTCCCCTTATAACTAAAATTCTCCGAGAGTTGTCTTCACAAGCTGTCTCCACCTTCTCACCACCATTCACCCCACCCAATCCACACCCTCCTCCCCCCAGGCCAAGGCACTCTTGTTACTGTCGTAGGTGGCTCTCCTGCAGCCACAGCCAAGGGCACCCTCGGCCCCCCGGCTCTGCTGCCCTCTTCAAACACTGCTCTTGGCCCGAGGCTGCATCCTCCTCTGGCTTTCCTCCTCTCCCTCTACTTCCCCGTCCCTTTTTCCTTTGTGGGTTCTTCCTCCTCTCTCCGCCCTCTTAGTGTTGGAGTCCCCAGGCCTGGTTCTGGGCCCCCCTCTCCTCTCTTTGTCCCCTTTCGCTAGGGGATAATATCCATTCCCAAGACTGACAACTCCCAAATTTATATCTCCTACCCAAATCCCCAGTCCAAGCGCAGGTCATATATCTGACGGCCTACCTGACATCTCTCCTTGCGTCGCACCGTTGTCTCCGATGGAACTATTGATCGCGCATTGCGCCCCTGCCCTGCGGTGGGCACCCAAGTGCAAAAGCCAGAAACCTGGCGCCCGCCTTGGCCGTCCACCCCCTTGTCTTCACATCTAATTCACTGGTCACTCCTGTCATTTCTACTCCTGACGATATTTCCAGTCCTTTCTCCCCTTTCCTCTCCCACAGCCACCATCACCGGAGAGTCTCCTTCTCTGCTTCCTCACGTGCCTCATCCATCTACTCCCCCCACGCCGCAGTGACAGTCATCTTTTTAACACACAAATCGGACCAGCCATTCTCCTGCCTTGAACCCTTTGGTGGCGCACCATGATGTTGGAAGGGAACACGACCCCTTATCGGGCCTGGACAGGGAGCCCAGTTCGGCCTGCTGCCCACTTCACGGACTCCTTCAGCCACATGGTCCCAACATTCCAGCAGGTGCGGTCCCAGCCCCCGGCCTGTCACAGGTCTGCTCCCTCTGACTAGGACGCTCTCCCCACTTCCCTCTGGCTTCTTCTCATCCTTTAGGTCTCACCTTAGAAAGCATCGCAGAGAAGTCTTTCCTTCCTGGGTATCCACTGTCCCACGCTTGTTTGGTTAGCTATGGGTTGCCCAGTTCGTCCAGTAAACCATAGCCTCCTGAGGGCAGGGACCGTGTCTGCCATCCCCTCAGCACCGTGCGGGACCAGTGCTCAGTACATACAAGAGAGTGAACGAAAGAGAAGCAGCCTGTGGGAGGTCCCAGTTCGTCACTGCGGGCGGAGTGAAAGTTGACTGAGCCGCCAGTCTTTTGACTGTTTTTGGCCCTTCACTTCTATTAGTTCCCAAAAGATACATATAAAAATAGTAATGATAGAGGTGACCAAGCGCTGGTGTCCCGGATAAGGGTGAGAAAGAATAAATGTTATCGATACAGAGAATCAACCTTTTACTTTCTGTTCAGAATCACTGACCCGTGTGAAAAAATAATCTCTAAGGCAGTTGCATCAAGAGAAGCCAGATAATAGGATGCAATAATTACTGGGTACTGACTATATACTAGATACTGTGCTAAGTAATTTACAGATGACATCTCATTGCACACCAACAAAAATATTTAAATTTGAACGATATATAAAATATGCTATTTTGAAAATTAAGAACCGGAAACTTTTTTTCATTTAAAAAGGGAAATAATAAAATACATAGAGCTATTCAACATCATAGTCAGGGAAGAGAAGCAAGGCAAAAAGAAGAGACGGAGGTATGTGCGCAAAAAGAATGCAAGACAGAGACACACAAGAGTAAATAAAAATAGAAATTGAGTGAAACCCTGAGCACAGAGAGAAAAACACATGCATAAACATAGACTGGCTCGTACGGGAACAGACACGGAAAGGGGATACGCAGACCTACAGAGGCAGAGAGACCCCTAGGAAGGTATAAGATACTGTTGGAGAGAAACAACCCATCTTGAAGCCATATTCAGCATTTTCTTTTCTTTTTTTTTTTTTTATCCTCACCCGAGGACATTTTTTTGTTCAGGTAGAGTGGGAGGGAGAGAGAGGAAGAGAGAGAGAAAGAGAGAAACATCGATGTGAAAGGGACACATCGAGTGGCTGC